GACAAGCAAATGCCTGTGATCATTGGAATCATCCAGTTTGTGATTCGGACTCGCGGTGGTTGCAGTAAGATACGCAACTTCAGGCAACATGAAATATTCCCATTTTCCATATGAAGGACAACGGATGTAATAATAAGGGTACTATTTTTTTTATATTTTATTTGTAGCTTCTACAAAATTTTGTTAGAATAAAAGAGCTTATTAATTACTTGTGTTTTTCTATTGAATTTGTTGTGAATGTATGAACAAATAACTTCTTATGTCAGTATAATATTCGACGACACCGTGTTTTGTAGCGACCGCGAAGCAACATCAAGCAATACCTATCAATCCCTGCCTTCACTTGGGCAAAAAAAAGCGCTCCTTGAAGAACATTTCATGACTCACGAGGCGATGCGGAGCGAGCAGGGTGGTTCGAGATGGTTCGAGGAGGTTCGCTTCGTCTCGATCCGTTTGTAAACATAGCCGCCAACTCAGAGCCTTAAAAGTACGTCTGTCAGAGCTGCAACATATATTTCTTCTCAACTTTTATCTTTATTGGTTATTAATGTGTCGGGTATATCGGTTCCGAGCTCTTTTTAGTCTCAATCAGGAAAGCAATTCATCTCTCTCACGACATGGAGGTTTCAGGATGTTACAAAAAGACCTATGATAAGGTGAGTTTGGAAATAAACCAGGTACGTGTTAGATAATTTCATAAATAGTATATGTATCTAATTATACGAGATTTCTAAGTAGCGAATATTGAAAATAAACACCGTCAATTGACTGTAAAATTGTTTGGTTCCTGGTAGAATAATCGTTTTCTGTATATGAAGATCAAAGAAAACGGTAAGACCTTAGGAGTAACAATAAAAAATTTGGTTTGTACTAACATTCATTCCATGTTGTTTGCATCTGGATGATTGGTTTTGCCTTTTTCTTTGTTATGAAAAGGAAATCATAAGAAAAATTGCAAACAATTATTCATGTATATGTATACACATTATATTTACTATACTTATCTATCTATATATATCTGGGTACCTATTTATTCATCTGCCTATCCATTTATCTATGTATCTATGAGTGTATATATGCATATATACATATATATGATATATATGTATATATATGTGTGTGTGTGTGTGTGTGTGTGTGTGTGTTTGCGTGTGTGTGTGTGCGTGTGTGTGTGTGTGCGTGTGTGTGTGTGCGTGTGTGTGCGTGTGTGTGCGTGTGTGTGTGTGTGTGTGTGTGTGTGTGTGTGTGTGTGTGTGTGTTTGTATGTGTGTTTGTGTGTGTGTTTGTGTGTGTGTGTGTGTGTGTGTGTGTGTGTGTGTGTGTGTGTGTGTGCGTGTGTGTGTTTGTATGTGTGTTTGTGTGTGTGTGTGTGTGTGTGTGTGTGTGTGTGTGTGTGTGTTCATATATATTCTCCATGACCTTCTAATACACCTAACATGCCCAATCTTTTGCTCGGGACTGAGGGTCGTATCCATAAATACAAGGGAGAGGTCAGTCAGGGTGGTTTCCCGTTGCCTTCCCTGACATTGTTTTTATTGAGACTGTCTTTAGAAAGGTTGCCAGCCAAGACTAAAGAGTCCCCTCAACCTTTTTTTTCTATTTATCCTATAGATGGGACTCCACTACCAGATACTGTTTATACACACACCCAGGAGCAAAATGCACGCACACACATACACGCGCGCGCGCGCACGTAAGTGCCATAGAGGAAGTCGCTGCTGTGGCATAAGTGGTAGCGCGCTGAACCGCGGTTGATTAGGAAGGGCATCCAATCAGGTAAGGGTGAGACTGCCAAATAACCTCTGAATAATAAATTGGGAGAGGCCTAGATCCCGCAGTGGAATAAATGGCTATTGAGCAAACAAAAAAACAATATATATACATATATATAAACTCACATGCTTGTGTGTTTGTGTACGTGTCTATATGTGCTTGTGTGTGAATAATTTAATGTCTGTATCTGTGTTTCATGGAACCTCTCTGGGGACGCAAGAATGTTCCGCTCTTCCGAGTGACAACATCTAGAAAGTATCGAGTCTAATCTTCACATTTTTGTAGAGCAAGACAACCAAAGAAGCTAATTGAAAATGTAGGTATCAACCGACTTTAATTTGGGAATCTAAACCATCATCATTTTCCCTTGCATTTTCCTCGCTTTTTATGAGTCTAATCTATTGGTGGATCTTTTAATAGCTTACCTGGAATAAACATGGATGGCAAATCTAACTACAAATCAGAAATCTGTAAATGACGCTTGTAAGAGATGTAACGTAGCATAATAAACGGAATTCCTACGGCTGGAGTGGCGGATGAGAAAACACCTACAACGTTTACCTTTACCTTAATGCGCTCGTATGATCTGAAATGTTTCCGTGACTCGCCATGAAACTATTCTTTGCATCTTGCTTAAAAGACCACAGATTGCCAGGAGCAATAAGCATCGTCGTGAGTATATTTGGCTCTCTTTCTAACACTGTAAGATTCGTGGATCTAAGGAGAA